ATGACCAAGTGGTACACTGCTGCTAAGGACATCTGTGTGATGGGGTGTTCTATTTTTAGAATAAAAAGATTTTTTTTTCTGCCAGATTTGTTGGAATTATTTAATGTTAAGATGGGATTCTTGATCTTGAAAATATGAAGAAACTAAATTTGGTTTTAATTCTGTTTTTCTTGCCTTGGAAAGTAATAAAGTGGCATCTATATACACTCATCTCTGCTGAAGTTAAGATAATATTTAATTGTTGTTGTAGATGATGAAGTTCTACATTCAGTAGCAGTTGTTTCTATTTCTCTTTATGATAGGAAATTTTTGAAACACCAGCTGAGAGGAAAGAACTGTGAACTCCTATTGGTGGTGCCAGAGGAGGTGGAAGCACATCAGACCTGGAGAGCTGACGTGTGACCCGGGCCAGCTCTGTCCTCCCACTACAGTTCTTCCCCTTTACCAAACTCCTGATGTCCTAAAACCTGCATAATGGGTGCCCCGACTCTCTTCGTCTGGAATTTCCTTTGTTAGGCTCTTCTCTTCCTTCCTTGGTGCAATAGGGCAACGGCAGAGGACATTGGGGTGGTGGGTGGGGAAGAACTGAGGGCAGAGCAGAGGAAACTGGAAGCCAATCACTTTAATTGCAAGATGGATGAGCTGCAGTGCCCTCCGGCCAGCTGGAAGGCATTGCACTCTTGAAAAACTGGGCTGGGGAGAAAGAATGCCTGGAAACCCCGGGCTTCCATTTCCCCACGTGGTTCAAGGCTGTGTGTGGTGGGACACTGCTCCCTCCAGGGCTTGTCAGGAAGGAGCAGGGACTGAGCACGCTGCCACCTCTTTACAGTTCTCTCCCTCCAAAACAAATTGTTGTGAAGACATTTGCAATTCCTAAGGGTCTCTCAGGACACTCAGAACACTAGGAATGGTACGGTGCTCAGCACGACCCTCTGCTTCTTAGGGCTGGTTTGTGCCAGGAATTAAGAAACAGTAATAAAACCAGAGTCATCTTCCAAGAAATTCTTTGGGTAGCTAGAGGATTCTTCCCCAGGGTCTCCAAGGATTTATGTATGTGGTGAGTGGTTGTTTGGCAGTATGTGTCTGGCTAAGGTGACATGGAAACAGCAAGCACAGGATGACTGAGGAGTATCAAGTTTCTGGACTGGAGAGAGGCCACAGTCTGCTTGGGTTTCTTTGTGCTATGGTGGGGTTTTTTTACTATTTTTTAACAGTTATTTTGGTTTTCTGCATGGTCACCCAGTAGTTTAGGGGCTCCTTGGAGAGAGGAATAAAGCTGAAGAGGTTTTCAAAGAAATTAATTCCCTTTTATTTTCCACTCTCCAGAAGTCCAGCCCACAGTCACAGATGTAATGTGAAATGAAAGAGATCAAGTTATAAAATAAAAATGGGCTGAGGAGGGAAGCCTTTATAGCAGTCAGTTTTGCTCTTTTATTGCTACCATCTGCTGGTCTGGGAGCTGCAGAGGGTCCACCAGAACTTCCAGGCATTGGAGACACCCTGGCTTGGTAGTTGAACCAACCTCTCCTTTAGCATTGGCCAACAAACATTCCATTAATGGGTGAATTGCTTTTTTCTGCCTTCCATGGGGAAGAGAAACTAGACACGGAGACACTAAGAGGAATCTCCACCAGCTGTTTCCCAATCACCCAGGAGAGCTGTAGCTCAGCCATGCCTTCCATGGCAGGAGGCAGAAATGCTGAATCTGGAACTCACTTTGTTGTGTTTAGCACTTCCTGGCTGAGCTGCTGGTTGCTTCCATCTTTACATGTCTTGGTTGAACAGCAACCTCTGGGACTGATGGAGCTCAAAGGATCCTGTTCCACCATGCAGGAAACTCTCATTACTGATGTTTGAGCTGGTGAAAGGAGGGATTGTAATGACCTTTTCTCAGTTATTTCTCTCTTCAGAGCTCTGCAAATGCATGAGCAGGTGCTCGAACCTCAGAGACCACCAAAGTGGCACCGTCCCAACAGAGAACAGAGGCCACATGACGACAGGACGATGGTGTTTGCTGACCCCCGGACATCTGGCAAGCACTTTTGCAGTCCTTTGAGCACAGCCTCCCACAGTCAAGGGCAAATGGCTCTTACATTTTAAAAAGTCCTATTTCGTAACACATTCCAATGACCAATACCAGCTGGCAGAGTTTTTAAACACTTTCCAGGCAGGATGTTCAGCCTGCAGGCATTCTGCTCCTGACTTGAAGCCATTTCTTCAAGAGGGGAAAATATAAATCTCAACAGCAACATTTTCTATGCTGATTGAAGTTGCACTTTGGAGAAAAACCCTGTTTGCATGGAAATTGCAAGCCAATGGATCAGTGCACAATATGCAAAGATGTTTTAAAATACTTTGGGGCTGCTTTCCTCTCCTTGTATGTCAGCTGCTTTCCCGGGGGAGAAACAGTGTGATCCAGCTGCTCAGGTAAAGGGAAAGTGTTTGATCACATCCCTGTGGGAGGTGAGGCTGCCCGGGGGTGGGTGAGCTGGTTCAGTCCCACTGCTCGGGAGCGGGGAAGCCCCTCTTTGTTTTCTTGCTTGTTTGGTTTTGTTAGAGCCTTGTCTTGGGTTTGTTTACAGAGATGTATTTTGTTTAACCAAATATAAAAAATGGGAAAAAAAAGTTTCCATATAAATGTCCTATCACTTCTGTATGTTCAATTGAATTGTTCTGTAACAAAGTATGTAAAGGATAAATAAATTTTTTTCTTTGGTTATAAAACCACCACGTTTCTGTGCATTAAGAAACTTGAACACTGGACACTGGTGCTGAGGTAGGATCACCTCCCAGAATTCCCTTAAGCCAAACATGGCTTCCCCACCCATCTGAAGGTGACAAGGCCACATTGGTCCCTTCCACACTGCCAGGCTGTGCATGAAATGGAGAAATCCCTACCCAGAAATCCCCCAGCAGCTCTGAAAGAACTGAGCCTCCCTCAAGGACATCTATTAAAACCACACTGCTCAGGTTGGATTTATTTAATATTCCATACAAAAAAATACGCAGCTGATGTCTGTTCTACTTTATGAGGCAGAGAATCTGCGTGGATGTGATCGTCTCAAACCTGGCCTGCTGCTCCCTCGGTTCTCACACACACACAGCTGCAGTGAAAGTGTTTCTGCAGATGCATCTTCCCAAAGAGTATTTTCCATGGGGTATTGATTGCCACCGGCACCCCTCCTTCCTCTGCTGGGAAAGTCACGCTTCCTGCCACCACTGTCCTTCAGCTCCAAATCAGGCAGGAAAGCACTTGTTGTGTCTGCCTGCTGCATTCAAAGCCTGACCTGTGCCCCAGGGTGTTTTGTGGGGGCAAGAAGCTGGCAGAGGAGCTCCCCCGGTCCAAGTCTGTAACTGGTTATGGCATAGTGATTGAATAAAAGGAAATACTCATGATTTCTAAAGGAGAGGGGGATGCAGACAGGAGCCATCATCAGGTCCATAGGGGGGCTTCCCTCCCTCGTTATGAACAGGTCAATGTCCCAAAGGATAACCGAAAATAAAAAGAAAAAATGCCCTGGCCCAACAAATCAACAGTTCAATATATCATAATCGCAAGGTCTTCCCACTTGATATGAATCCAACTCAGCTTCCGCAAATTAGATTTTTCCAGACAGCGGAGGCAGGGCCCCTGGCATTCCCCCTGAGAGCCCTGTGTTGGGTCCGAGGAGGATCTGGAAAGAAAACCATTCATTGAGGGGTTTCAAGGACACAAGATGTCTTGCCATGCTGTCCCCCCTCCCACAGCTATTGGTGGCACTTTGCAGCACCAGCCCCATGCCTGCTGCAACAACCAAGGTCAGTGCCCAACCACTGCCCCTACTGCAGCCCCTCCCAGCAAATTTTAGCTGGTAAAAGCCAGGTTGGGCTCCAGGCATTGCCACCACTGGGAATCAGCAGGATTGTCCAATTAGAACACCCAGTCGGGGAATCTGGTGGGATGAGTGAGGCCACAGCATACAACAGAGTGCACCCTTCTGCCCCAGCACCCCCAGCACTGCTCACAGCAGGAGGTGCAGGCACTCCCGGCCAACTCTGCAGGGCCAGGACAGACGGCTGGGCCTTCCTGCCTCACCTGTCGCTGCTGCAGCTGCTGCTGTTGCTCCATCTGCAGTTTTTCGGTTTCAAAGACGACAGGAAGAACCAGAATCATGAAGGAGGTGGTCCCAATCCACAGAGCTGCCCTAGAGAATCTATCAAGGATGAAGAACCCTAGGAATCAGTTCTTATCGGCACAATCCCGCGTTTCCCTTCCGTGCCTCAAACATAAGCCTGCCTCCAAATCCAACCCCGAGCTGCGGGGTGTCCCCTTATCCCCGCCCTTCCCAAGCCGCCCATAAACAAAACCCGTGATTCTGCCGCTCCCCGCAGGCCCCGCACTGCGCTACCAGCGGCCAAAGCCGCAGCGAAAGCCGGCAGAGCCGCCCGCGCCCCCGCTCTGCCCGCTGAGCCCGCTCCGAGGGGCTCCGGCCCGGCCCGCCGCCCCCTCACCTGTACATCTTCTGCGCTACCGTCAGCGACAGGTCGAACGTAGCCCCGGCCGCCGACCGGACGCTCTCGGGGAACATCTCCGTGAGTCCCCACAGCCGCTCCGCCAGCGTCTCGTCCAGCTGCGGGCGGCACCAACCATGTCAGGCCCCGCCGCACGGCCCTGCGCGCTCCGCGGGGTCACCGCGCCCGCCCGGCCTTCCCCGCCGCCTGCCCCGATACCTCCTCGTCGTCCTCCTCCTCCTCGTCGAGCTCGTCCTCCAGCTCCTCGGCCTTGCCCGCGCCGCCCTTGGGCAGCAGCTCCTCCGGGGACAGGGACGCCGCGGCCGCCATCGCCACCAGACAGGACGGAAGGAGCGGCGGCCAGAGCGCCACCGGAAGCGCGGCCGCCCTCCCGCCACCCAGCCCGGGCCAGGCAGCGGCCCCTGGCGGCCCGGAGGAGCAGCGGCCGCCCCCCGCCCCGGCCCCCGCAGCACAGCGCGACGTGTTACAAACACCCTCAGAAACGGGTTTTAATTGCAAGGTTTTATAACAAATATGCAAAACTCTCGAGAACGGGCAAATCCAGCATCCTGCTCGCCCAAGGCAGACGGTGAGGTTTGTACAAGCACCCACGGGCTCCCCGCGGTGGGGGAGAGGCAGAGGTCTCCCCTCTTCGGTGACCAGAGAAGGCGAGCAGGAGCCCTCTCGGAAATAGATCTGCCCGACCACCGGCTGTCCGGCTGCCTCAGAGAGGAGGGTACCTGTGCTGGGCTGCGCTGAGCAAACGTAGCAAGGTAAAGTGCTCTGAGGAAAATCATGTTAATTAACAGCGCTGTGGTGCCAAACCAGCCATTAGCAGTACCCACAGCACCACACAGCACTGGAGGCATCTCGGCACTCGTGGTCCCGTGAAACAAAGTACCTCACACAGTACCATCATGGCTGGGAGGCCCGAGCCAGCCCCAGCATCCCGTGGGCCAAGACCCAGAACCAGCTGGCCATCTCTTGTTCACTTCTTCCTCCGGCTGTGCTGCTTCAGCTCCTCCAGCTCCTTCTCCATGAGGTGGGACTCGGCAGTGGTCTCAGAGAGCTGGAACGCACAGCAAACAACAACAGGAGGGAGTTAAAAGCTGGTGAGGCTTTTCCAACTTCACTGTACAAACAAGATTTACAGCCACAAGCCAGGTCCTGCAGGAGGTAATTTGTTCCTGTTGAGCAAGGGGGAAGCTGCCATGTCATGTTTCACTGAGATCGTCTGGAAAACCTGAAGAGCACATAGTGCTTCTGCTGAGTGCTCCAGCCACAAAAGCCATTTTCCAGTTTTAAAACACATGAAGAGTAAGGAAATAAAATATTTGTTTAGAGTGACATAGAGGCTAAATCACTTATTAACTGCGAATAGATGTGTGTTCTATTTCCCTGAATGTCTCTCCAGATTTTAAGCATGAAAGCTGTGATCTCTGGTTAAGGCCGAATTTCGGTTTATTTACTGGAAATTCTTTCATTCACAGTTTTACACATAGGATAGATGTCTCGCCCCTCATGACAGCAGATGGAAGCTTTAATCTTCCGTGACCAGAAACAGTGGCTGTAACTCAGTTTCATAGTTAGGGAAGAGAACAGAGTGGCAAGAAAAATGCCACATTCTGTGCAGAAAGGGAAACAGGAGACAGCAGGGACTTCTGTCTTCTCAGTCACAGTGTTCACAACAAGCTCTGATGTGGGGGGAACCTTCCCCTCTTTCCACAGAGGGGATCAGGCTTTATTCCCACAGTCACTTTGCCGTTACACCCATGTTGCACAACAGGGTAAAGCAGAAAGTGGGGTGCACTGAGAGCAGCCTTCTTCAGGGAACCCAGCACCCTTTGCCCAGGCATCCCCACTGCTATGGGCAGGCAGGAACTGGGCAAAGGCTCACCATGTCCAGCAGAATGTCCACTTTCAGCCGAAGTAGGTTGTTTTCTTCCTCGAGCTGCTGGTTTCGTTTGCGCAAGCGCTGCAGTTCCCTGCGATCCCCCAGGAAGCCTCCTGATTCTTGGAGGAAAGAAGGAGATCAAAATACAGATTGTCAGCCAACCATGGCTATTTCAGACCAGACAAGCTGGGCTGTACTCTACCTGAAACCCAGTGGCCATTTTCGAACTTCAGGCTCTGGCCAGCAAGGTTCATTGTGGGGGTGCCGTATTCCAGGCCCAGCTCAACCTCACGGGTGGATCTATCCAGCTGCAGGGAGAAGATCACACTCAAGAGTTTCACAGAATGCCAGAGCCACCCCCTGATCTCCCATTTCTTAGTGACTGGCATTCCAGTGGAAGATGCTGGTCCAAATGGCCCCTGGAACCTTTGGGCATGTACTACTTTGGTCATGTACTGGTGCAGTAAAGGACTGGTTCCTCTCACTGCCATCCCTGCACTTTCTCCCACCTACACACTCATCTCCCTGCACTTGGAGACCACAGGTGAGAATTTTTCAGTGACACAGTTCTGGGCTGCAGGTGTGGTGATGATGATTCTTCCCTGAGCTATTCCATTTCTAGCTTCATGTACAGTCACAGTGATCAGGAATGGTGCTGCACTGCAGGAAGAAAGCAGCATAGTTGGAATAATAGAATATATTGACGTGGAAAGAACCCACAAGGATCATTGAGTCCAACTCCTAGCCCTGCAGAGAACTGTCCACAAGAGCTGCACTGTGTGCCTGAGAGTATTGTTCAAATACTTCCTGAACTGTCAGGCTTGGTGCTGTGACCACTGCCCTAGGAAGTCTATTCCAGAGCCCAACCATCTCTGGGTGAAGAACTTTTTCCTGCCCCAGAAGCACCTGGGAGCCCTTGTAAGGGTTATGGCACTGACAGCAGGAGCCACCCACCCCTGGCACCAAGACATGGCTCCTGCAGCAAACCGCAGGTGCGGGGACTCACCAGGTGCAGGTTGGACAGCGAGGCCCATTTCCTGGGGGGGGTCTTCTTCGGGCTGAAGGAGTTCCCAAAGAGAGGCATTGCACGCTGCTGGCCAGGCCTATGGTGGGCTCCTGAAGGAGCGGGAGAGACACAACAGCTCTGAGGCTGTGGGCCAAGAGCAGTGATGTTCTCCCCAGGCATGTTCTCCCCAGGCAGAACCCCTCATTCTCTCCAGTGAGCTTCTCCCCAGGCAGAGCCCCCAGCTCTCAGGGCAAGACAGCGATTTGGGGGGCTCCGGGCCGCCACCCCACCACTGCCACCCGGCAGCACCGGCCCTCCACGGCCACGTCCCTCGCACCTCCACCGCCACGTGACCGAGCCGGGCGGGGGGCGGAGGACGACGGTGCGCGGTGCCCCCCCCCCCCCGCCGGGCCCTCCCCGCCCCCGGCCGGTACCCCCAGTACCGCGCGGCCCGGCACCTCGGGGGGGCACGGGCCGTACCACCCCAGGGGCACGCCGAACAGCTGGAAGGGGAGCCCCGCGGGGCGCTATTCCCCGCACGGGCCACCACCGGGATGCTCCTTTGTTCTGTTTTCCCTCCCGGCATCTCACTGGCGAAAGCAGCGGGCTCGGCAAGAGCGGAGCCGATGAAGAATGCCCCCCAGCCCCCATCCCCCCCGCGCCGCAGTGGTAGGGTCAGCCCCGCGGTGCGGGAGCGGTTGGGCCGGGCTATTCCATCGAGCTTCGCCTTAATTCCGGGGGGAGGGGGGGGGGGGGGGGGAAGGGGGGCACCTCTCCTTCGGGCCGCGCCCGCTCCCGGCGCTCGCGTCCGCCGCCGGTGGGATCCGCCGCGTGTCCCGGGAGCGGTTTGCGGCCGCCGCGTTGCCGTGGCGATGGGATCCGCGGCTCCGCTCCGCCTCCCGTACTGGAGGCAGACGGGGGCGGAGTGCCGGGCAGCGGGCTCGGGGGTCGGCCCTGCTCACGGGCTGCGTCAAACTAGTGCTGTGCTGACGGCGCTTTCCTTAACACCTTCCCTAAAATGCTCGAATCGCCTGAAAGAGTTGTTAAAAATGTTTTTGATGGGGATTGTTTGTTTATTCATTCAGCTAAATAACTAAACGCCATTAGGCAGAGAACCCTCCCTTGCTTGGGAGCGTTGGAGAAGAAGTGGAGGAGGTCTGGCGTCCTGGACTGCACGGGTTTAGGGGATGATGGATGGGGAGCTGGACAGTGCAGAATGGTACAGAGTCACAGAAATCACAGAATCAGTTCGGTTGGAAAAGATCTCCGAGATCATCAAGTCCTGTCTTTGGCCAAACACCACAACCATGTGAACATGACCGTGACACTAAGTGCCAGTACTCCAGGAAAAAAAAATTATCTAACAGACTTTCATTCCCAGGGTGCTTAATTGGCACCCTGCCTTAAGTGAACCAGAAAATTGCTCACTTGGAATGAGAATTGGAAAAATAGCACAGTTAAATCCGGTGACTTGAGAGAAGAAAAATTTCTGGTGCTGCTGTATCCTTTGGTAGTCCTGCTAACCAATATCTGGTTCTTGCAGGACACATACTATAAAAACAGTTGCTTTCAGACCCAGTATAGCAGAGTCTGTGCACTGGAAAGTTGTGATTTTTGCAATAAGAGAAGTAATTATAATGGGGTGTGGGGGGAAGTCAACACCCTTAAAAGTAGAATAAAAACTCACTGTTCAGAGCAAGGCCTTTGTGAAGTAGCTGTGGCTTCTATCACCATTTAATACCCACACGTGTGTGCATATATTGGGTAAGAAAGATGAAAGGAAGGTCCAGATAAATGAAGGCAAGAACTTTGGAAGAAAAGCTGAGAGCATGTAGAATTACAATTTTGAAATGAGAACACAAAGGCAGCTCACCTGGGTGCTTATAAGAGACAAAGACCATACAGGAGAGTGAGGGACTGAGCTCAGTTTGGTTGGGGTGGTTTTTTCAGTAAGGTTCACCTTCCTAGAACAAACCTGTATGTTTCAGCACAGCTGTTGCTTGAGGTCTCCTTGTGCTCAGCAGGATGAGTGTTGTAGAAATACACTGTAATTATTATAAAACTACACTGTCTCATGCATTTGGGTGTCACAGAGTGATTCTCTTACTGCCTCTTTCTGTGGAGCAGAGACTTGGAAAAAGCCAGGCAGCTCATCCCCACTGCCTTGGCATGGGAGGTGAATGTTTCCTCTTGTGCCTGGTTGCTGTGCCCACAGTGAATAATCCCTGTGTGAATGGTCTCAGAGTTGGTAGTTGATTTCTGCTGTGATCTGCTTCAGGAATCTTTCTTTTTCTGCATGGTTTGACAAAATTTCATTTCTCACCAGAACTCCATTTCCTTGAAAAATGCTACAGAATTTCCTCACTACACCAACCTCCCAGAGTATTTTGGCAGCAGCTTTTCGTCATTGTTTCTCCACCTACATCAGGTAGATACCAAGACAAGAACTGGCTGTTGCTGTTTCTAGCATTGTCTCTCAGTATATTGCAAATACATACATACATACATATTTATATATAGTTTGACATACAATTTTCAGCTATGTTAAGAGCATTATGGTGCAGTAGTTGCATGCATCTGTTCCTGTCACTCTGTGGGGAAAAGAACACCTAGCACACATTCTTTCTCCAGGACAATACCTACAGAGATCACTTAGGAACTGCAAAAGCCTGTTAAATGGTGAAGAACCTGTATGTCACAGTCATTGTGTAAGGAAGCTGCCTATGTTCGCAGGAGGACATCTTTGAGAACACTGGTGGAAGGCTGAGAGATTGACAGGATGGAGATAGGGCTGTAGCACATGGCAGTGTGGAAATTTTGGAATAGATCCAAGCTGTTCTTGGTAGCCTAATTTGGAGCATCTTCTTCAGCTTTTTTGGCTCAAAAGTGATAGAGAATCTATAGCTTAGGCGTTCTCAGAGCTGCCTTTAACTCCATAGTGTGTCACTTGCTTTTTCTAATATATGCTGCAGGATTATTATTGTTCTCTGTTATATCAATAATTACAGGGAAACCCCATTGACTGGTGAATTCAGTAGACTTACTCTAGGCTTACTCTGAGTATTTATTTTAGTTACTGTATTGAAAGTTGCTACATTGCCTGGTTGTTACAGATAGGTAAGGCTTTATAAAGCCTTACCTATCCTGAATTAAAAACCTGTAAACTAAAACTTTTTTTGCATATTGAAATTAATTCCCTACCCAATTAAATTTTTCTGCAGTAATTCTTGTTGCCTCAATGCTGTGCAGTTAAAGATGTCCCATCTTTTAGAATCCTAAATACCTCACCTATATTTTGTTGTCAAAGCCGACACTTCTTTTTCTCTCTCTGTTTCTTTATTTCATTATAGCTAAATCAGGAGATAAAAGAACAACCATTTCACTGCTTTGTTAAGAAACGTGCTCTCCTCCCGCTTGACTGTCTCAGATTCCACCACCAGGAGGCCCTCATTCCAGTGCTTATAGCTAGGCAATGAAAACACAAGCAGAGTGAAGTGGAGAAACCCATCCTCACAAAAATAATCTGAAATTAATGCTTATCCTATAAATTGAGATTTTCAGAGTATTGTGCAAGCATCTATTAATTAATTATTGCAAGCATCCTAATATCCAACTATTATGGATGCTGTGACTTTTGGAGATAATGGCGTGTCTGTCACAGGTGGTACCCTTCATTTAATAGCTGAGTGATAGCTAGGAAAGTTCATGCCTCTGTCTGCTGGATGGATCTTAGTAACCTAAAAAAAAAAATTAAAATGCAGTAAAGCACAGGTTATATTTCTCATCCCTCATGTGTGTCTTCTATCAGCCAACAAATATGCCCTCACCTACTTTGCCTCTGCCTTCTCTCTTTTAGCTACTTACTTATTCACAGATTCTTAATGATTCTTAATTCTCTTTCACTGTTCACAGCTGGCTTTTATAGTGTCCTAAAAGTTCTAAATATCTGCACTAACACTCTTTCTGATTGTTCTATTTTGCTAACCAGACCTTTAAAGAAACGTGGAAGGAGAAATGTTTTTATCCTTATTGTTTTACCAAATCACGTACTTTTTCCCTACTGGCTTTTCAAAGCTGCAGTCATTACCTTGGCTGAAATGTAGACTTTGTTATTCAAAAGAACACTGGGTACATGATCTCTGGACTAAAAAGTATGTGGAGTTGTCATTATTTTTTCCTTAAACCCTATTTATTTTTCTCTTCACTGCTGAGTCAAGCCTTGTCTTGCTTGTTTCCCACGGTCATGTTTCAGTACTGATGAGTCCAAGACACAGATTTGCAATGCAATTTCAGAATGGATGATAGGTGAGAACAGTTTTGCTCCTGTCAGGAAATGCAGCTCCTGCAAGTTGTAAGTTACCCTCAGTTGCTAACTGAATTACCCCTTGTCTTTCAAACTTAGTTCCTGCCCTCCTTCCCTGAATTCACACATACATACAACATGTTTACATTTGTGTACTTTGGCTTCTCTAATATGTACTAACGTGGAAAACAGATATCCTCTGCTCTAAGAAGAAAAACAAGGGTAAATGAAGCCATGCATGAAATATGCAAAGTTCCCAGGCCTTTGAGAAGGTTTTCCAGTCATTGCTCACCATTCTGGCCACACTGTTCACTTGAAGGAATTTACACAAATACACAAGCAGTTGAGCCACTCACATGCTCTGGAGAGAATCCTTTGCTTCCCGACAGAGTTTGCCACGAGGCTGTCCTTGGTGACTGGGAGACCAAAGGTTCAGAGAGCATGTGCAGCCCACACAGCAGTGAAAGCTTGTGTTAAGCTTCATTTCACTCTGTTCCTATTACCTGGCTACTCTTTGCTTGCTTCCACATCTGTATTTCATTCTTTTCCTTGCCTCTTACTTTCACAGTCATCTGTTTCCATGGCTCACTTAAGATGTCCTTTCCAGGAAATGATGAAATTGAAGCTTTCAGTCTGTACGTTCCTGATGAGCAGATTCAGGAAAAGGGAACACCAGGGAACGGGTCTCAAGCATCTCTCTGTGTGGGTTGGTGTTTGGTGCTGCTGTAACCCTTCACCACAGCAGCTGCTGGAGACAAGATGTTTGGCCTTTGGACTGTGCTGCTGTGATGTTTATAAGGGAGAGCAAAGAGGGCCTGGATTCTAAATTCCCTGCCAAGGCAGTTCTATCTCAGGCCTCAGAAGAGCATCAGCTGTGCTTTGCCTGTAC